CAACTATCATGACTATAGGTTACAGTCATTTTTGAATCAAATATCTACCGGTACATTATATTTAGATTTTTAGATTTTAGTAGCAGAAAATTCAGGCATTATTAGTGTTCCTCTGTGTATATTCTCCCATTAAAAATATAAAAATTGTGATATCATAATTATTAATTCCTTTGTACATGTAATAGTAATTTTTAATTTTTCAGACTGCATACAGCCAGAGAGATGACGTCTACAAGTTTCTTCGTCAGGTGTTCGCATTACCATTCCTGCCTGCAGACCAAATACCAGATGCTTTCCAGAAGATGCAGACTAGAGCTGAGTCAACATCACCTGGTTGCAGAGCTCTGTATGGTCTGTTCAGTCCTGGGGTGTGTTTGGCAGAAGTGTCCGTACCAACAATGATGTAGAAGGATGGCACCACCGACTTAAAAAAGCCTCCACCTTATGTACAAGGAACCAAAGAAAACACCAACGGATTGCAAACTAGTCAGCGAAGGAAATCTATGTATCTTGTGTGAATGACAAACTTGTTTTGATTTAGTGTAACTCTTTGTTTTAATTAGTGCTTAAATTATATGTTTTTATGTAAATGACATACCTACTATACTTGACTTGAAATAATTTCTTTGATGAAATAAAGAAATGTATGTGTATATTGCAGTTATACTGGTAGTTTTATTTTTAAATTGGAGCATGCTTGGACTAATACTACAATACTTTAAAATACTCAACATATTCAACATATATCAAACAAACAAACAAAAAGTGAATTTGCCAAAACATTACAAACATTGTTTTTTCATACAGCTTTCAAACAACAGAAATAAAAAATCTAGGGACTATCACTCAATTGTCTATATAGACGTCTTTTCATAGACGTTCCCAGTTGTCTTTTTCGTCATTTATATACTCAAAATCAGCATCATTACTTTATTAGAGACTAATCATCAAACACATTCTTTTTCCTTAAATCGCTTATTTCTTCAAAAGTATAATTTTATACTTAGTCTGAGTTGTCTTTATAGACAGTCCAAGTTACTTATTGACGATCCGAGTTGTCTTCATAGACATCCAAGTTGTCTCCGGGCAGACTTGTCTCGTACCCTATTCAATATGACTGCACTAACCGTGAAGGGGCCTATATAATTTGATGTTAACTCGTACCACTGCTTACTCGTACCATTAAAACTATAGTACAATATATCTAATTTGTAAATCTTTGAATAATATGAATTAATTTTCCTGAATGTTATTGTATTATTGATTGAATAAATATATACAAAAATGGCAATACAATGTATACAATTTATTTTTATAATTTTTTTTTTATTTGCAAATTTTTATACGACCGCAAAAAATTTTTGCGTCGTATAATGCTATGATGTCGTCGACGTCATCGTCCCAAGACACATTTGGTTTCCGGACAATAACTTTAGTTTAATGAATGGATCTCTATAAAATTTTACCAGAAGGTTCAATACCACAAAAGGAAGGTTAGGATTGATTTTAGGGGTTATGGTACCAACAGTTTAGGAATTAGGGGCCAAAAACAAGCATTTTTGTAGTTTCCGGACAATAAAACTTGTGTGTAAGTGTATGGATCTCTCTGAAATTGTACCACAAGGTTCCATATCACAAAGGGAAGGCTGGGATTGAGTTTGGGGGTAAGTGCTCCAAACGGTCAGGGACTAGGGGCAAAAAAGGGGCCAAAAACAAGCATTTTTCTATTTTCCAGACAATAACTTGTGTTTTAGTGTATGGATCTCTCTAAAATTGTACTACAAGGTTACATACCACAAAGGGTAAGCTGGGATTGAGTTTGGGGGTAAATACTCCAAGGAAGGGGGTTTCTACAAAATTTTTGAAATCTTCAATTGAACAGTATTGCGCAATAGCAAGAAATCTTCAATTGCACAGTATTGCGCAATAGCATAGTATTGGGCAACAGCAATAGTACAGTATTGCGCAATAGCAAGAAATCTTCAATTGCACAGTATTGCGCAATAGCATAGTATTGTACAAAAGCACAGTATTGGGCAATAGCAAGAAATCTTCAATAGCACAGTATTGCACAGTAGCAAGAAATCTTCAATTGCACAGTATTGCACAATAACAAGAAATCTTCAATTGTAGCAACAGCACAGTATTGCACAATAACAAGAAATCTTCAATTGTAGCAACAGCACAGTATTGCACAATAGCAAGAAATCTTCAATTAAACTTTGTTTGATTTCATTAAAAACTGAATTATTGCGTCTGTATGATATGCTGAATCTTATGATGCATTTAGCTTTTTTATTTTGGGCCCTGTTTTCAAATAAGTCCATATTAAGGTTTGAAGGGTCCAAAATTAATCTTTGTTTGATTTCAACTAAAATTAAATTTTTGATGTTTTTTTATATGCTGAATCTAACCATGTTGCTAGATTTTGGATATCAGACCATACCAGGTAAATTAAATGTCCCATTTTAAATTTTTAAGATCTTTGACCACATTTATTTCGTGTCAGAAACCTATATTATGTCAAAAATTTGATCACAGCCCAAATTCAGACAGTATCAAGCTTGAATATTGTGTCTTAACTTGCTCCAACTGTTCAGGGTTCGACCTTTGCGGTCGTATCTGGTTGCACTCAACGAAGCATTTTATTACAAGCTTATGAGTTATTAAGTGAAATTTAAATATTTATTCATCATTCAACACCATTAATGTGTACAACTATTGGCATTGTAAGTGTCCAAATTAAAATTTTCGATTACATCACTGGTCTACGCTTGGTGGTGAGTGAAGCCATCAAATTGTTGTCAGAAGTCATAATTTAAAGTATCTCCATATTAATTAAAACACAAAAGAAACAAGTTACAGGTGAAAATTTATTGATTAAATCCAATCAGCAACAGGTAATCCTCATCGGGTAAATCAATCACCTATATATTGTATGGCCCTCAAGGAATGAACAAATTTAGCTCTTGTAATCTGTCCTGACTGGTATTTTGCCCATATTTCAAATAAGTATTCTAGTTTCTCTTTCTCAATTCTTGACTTAGGTGCTTTTTCATCAATATAACAAATTTTAATGTAATTAACCGACTGTTGTTCAATGATAAAAATCCATCTTAACATACATGTATACATTTTGTTCCTTTACTAGTCTATAACTTTAAACTCTATGTTGAAGACCGTGTCCATCCATGTGAACTAATTAACGACAAATACAAGTTGAATTTATTTATGTTATGATTACAAATCATTTAAATTGCTGGTAGATGACTATAGATAAAAAGTGCAAAAGACTGGTCAATTTAATACAGGTGTATCAAAATTCAAAGCGCAAATGTCCTTTAGTGTTACAGGTAAAAAAGGGCAAACCTCCTGCGCCCGTATTGTAACTATTGACACGCTGATTAAATTTCACCTGTAATTCTTTACCACACAGATAAGATTGAACATGTCACAATTTTACCGAAATTAACGTTTTTTTAACCGATAAATTATATATATAATTATAGCACCTCGCTTGGAAATTATAGGACTGCGCGAGGACTAATAGGACCATGCTCGGAAATTATAGGACCTTGGGTCTGTGGTGCTTTAATGGCCTGGGGAGAACACTGTACTATCCTGTAGAAAAGACATTAAGAACAGAAGTGAGGAAAGAATCTCTATCCAAGAGCCCCCTCCCCCTTGCTGCTACCCGTGCAGATAGTCTTGAATGTTTCAAGACCTACCTACATGAGACGCTCATCTACAATGTAGACCATTGTCCAGAATGTTTTTAACTTTCACTGTATATAGAATGTACATGTATAGCACAATTCTCTCTTTTACCTTATAAGTAATTTACATACATGTACATGCGCACCCATGTTATTATAATACAACACCGAAATGGAAATATAATGGCCACATCATTACAATATGATACAAAACCACTGAAATAAACAAACAACAGTAACAGACAATCTGTCAACAAATTACCCATACTCATTATAATCATTTTGACCAACCAAAAATTTATTAATTTAAAACTCTACGCATTTGCATGTACACTGTAGTAGACGAAGAAACTTTCATTTAAATTATACTAACTATTAATCAATCAATTTTTAGTGCCAATACAAAATAATATATATATGCACATGATACATTTGTAAATTGATTTCTTGTTTACTGATATATAGTCATATTAATTTTGCAGTTGTAAATTTGTGCTTCATCATGTTCATAAAAAAAATTATAATTTGTGTAACTAATCCTGCAAAAAGGAATATTTTTTTTTAACTTTCTTGATGATAGAAACTACATGTATGCAATAAAAGCATATGATTAAAATTTAAAAGATAAATGTTTGTGGGATATGTGTCAATGATACAGCAACACAAAAATTGAAAATATACAGAGGTCAGCATATTGTCTTTAACCATAGTGATGTATTTTAACCTTTTGATATTACACAACAAACTGTATTTATTGTATGACCCAGGAGTTTTCTTAGATTCTTTATAAGTCAATGAAAATGAGAAAGAGGGGGTAACCTCCTACGAATTGGTAAAATGATATGAGAGGAAAAGTCTTTAATTCCATTTGAAAACTGAACGAAAGAATGTTAAGTAGCAACATGATTTTTAGTAACAGAATAGTCTTAATGTGTTGCACATGTATGGATATGTATGAATGAAAAGTGAATCTGGACTAAACTGCAGCTCTCTTTAAAATTTATAGGTGTCTGCTTGTGTTTGTATAACATGGTGCTCAGTAAACATGGTTAAATCAATAAGGCTTTGCCAACTGGAGTCATTTTAAATATTGAAATAGTAACCTCCATAAGACTTTTTCTAGAATTTGGTCCATAAATGTACAACCCTTACAAATGCCTCATGAAAACAACATGATTATTCAGTAATAAAGATTTTATATGAAGAGTTAAAAAAAAACAACATTATTTTGACGCTGTGCAGTGAACATCATATGAACATCAAATGACCTAATTGTGTGTACAGTTCTATTTATAGATGCCAGAAATAGAGATGGGAGAAACGCCAAATGAATTCCAGTTAAAGAACCCACCAAATGATGGTATATCAAGTGTAAAATTTGGTCCTAACTCTAGCCAGTTTCTTCTAGTTTCATCATGGGACTCTACAGTCAGATTGTACGATATTGTTGCCAACAACAAGAGAATGGAATATTTTCATTCTGCACCAGTTTTAGATTGTTGTTTCCATGTAAGTATGACAATCTGAAAGGGAAAGGCACATTTTATAGCTAATACATGTACAGTCATGAATTTTTTTAATTTGTCTGATACGTACATTTTCCAAATTTTTCCACTTCTAAATAAAGGTCTAAATTGAAAAAAAAATACAATTTTTTATCCTTTGCTAAAATGTAGTTTATATCATTCTGTAAATTTAAAAATGTGAAAAAAATAGTAGGGATCACTGAGATTTTTTTTTCAAGCTACAGGTTATACAAAATGGTAAGATTTTGCAAGTATATATAATGCATAGAAAAATGACTTTTTGAAAAGAAAGAAAACAAAATGGCATAATTCTAAAATAATATTAGAATGTAGCTAAAAAACTTGGCCTTTAACAATAAGTAAAACCCAAAACATGTCACCTTATCTGGCTGCACACATTGTTGCGAATCAAAGCCAACAAGTCTGCTCTAACCCCCGAATGTCATATGCTTGTTTGGAGATCGATGCATCAAATACCAGTTTGTAACAATTTTTGGCTTGGGATTGTCAAGATTACTGAGGTGTTAGTATACTCTCTGTAGTAAGTCCATCTTATATGTACACATGTTTGGATTGTTGTGAACTTATGAAAAAATATATGCCAAATTTGATTCAGTGGTTCACTGAACAAAGAAATACATATATGTAAGGTTAACTTTTTTATTTAAGGTAGTTAAAGTTGTTGTCAGATCTACTTGAAACATTATTCATATGTGATTTTTTTCAAAAATATGACAAATTCAATTTTCACACACAAATTCACATGGTGTTGATGTAATTCAAATGTGCACCTATAGTTTATATAGACTTTGGTAGTAAAGATATACAGTGAGTGTTTACACTCCGTATAAATGTACATAGATATGTGATACTGTCAGCAGGGCATGGTATCATATGGAGGGGACGCATATTCTTACTTGGACTACACAGAATTTTTCATGGTCAAGATAAGTTTACATGTTATACTTTTTAATGCATGTAAGTTTATGATGTTTGTAGAGCCTTATAGTTTATAATTGCAGTATATTTTTTCTAAATTATTGAATGTTATGTTTTTATAGGATGCTGTTCATTCATACAGTGGAGGACTTGACAACACATTGAAAATGTTTGATTTTAATACTAATTCAGGTACATTGATTTTAGTAACAGGACATTCAGAAAATGTTTATAAAAATAATTATTTATATCAATGTTTCTATCAATAGAAAGATACTAGAAAATTTACCTGCAATTTTCCATAATTTTTTAAAAAGCATTGATAATACTGTAAGAATTTTTTTATTGTTGTCTGTTCTTTGGATCTCTTCCACCAACTGAAAATGTAGTTAAGACTAAATAAACTGAAGAAATTTAGTATTTATTTTCTTTCTGATTACAGAAAACAAAAGTACATAGAAAAAATTAGAGACTGTGTCCATCCAACCTGAGGTCAATTTCTTCAAATGTTATAGATTAAACTTTCTCAGAGCTGTTCAGGAAAAGATACATTGGGATTCTGTACATAACATTTTAGAATTAAAAAAATCAGCATTGTAACTGGAGAAGTACATTTTATAAATGTATATAATAGTACACAAAATGGAAAAAGTTACAGTAAGACCATATTAGGAAAAAATGTAAAACGAAAAATAACTTATAATTTCAGGTACAACTGTGGGTACACATGAAGCACCTATAAAATGTGTAGAGTATTGTCCTGAGGTCAATGTTGTTATAACAGGAAGTTGGGATTCAACGGTCAAATTATGGGATCCCCGTACTCCTTGTGCTGCAGGATCATTTAGTCAACCAGATAAGGTTAGAACATTGTAATACAGATCAAGGCTAGCATGGTGAATATGGAAACAGTTGTATAGTATTGCCTAACATCAACTCTTTTCCAAAAGTAGATCTTAAAGTGAAATTTAAGTTGGAATTAGTTCATGTAGTTTAAATGAGATTTTTTTAAATAAAACTATATTCTAAAAATTACAGTTACATGTAGCCTTAGCAGGCACAAGGTTAGATTTTTTTTGTGTTCAGTTTGTTATATAAGCTATATATATTACTTAATATAAGTGATCATCAAGATGAATATATGTACATGTATTATCAAGTTCACGTCTCATCAAATTCAGGATCTTTAATGTTGTGTAAGAACATTTCAGAATTTAATGTTAAAATTCACACAAACTACTGTTTCGACTTTTTAATATAAGAGTGAATATATATCTATGTACTGTAGGCATCCTAAGAATTTTCTTTCATAATTTATATTAAAAGAAATATAAAAGCTTATGAGACAAAATACAGGTTATGGTGATATGCTTGTGGCAGATATCTCATGATATTTTCTAAATCAAACAATTTAGCCAAGGAGCAGTTCTTTAATACTCTTTTTGATTCAGCCATGCTGGATCTATGTGATCACTAAGGTTTTGGAGATGGTGCAAAATTCTATGTTGAAGACATGTCATGAAAATAATTATGTGTTTCTATGACTAGCTGAAACTTTATACACCATCAACTGCTAACTTTTAATATGTTATTTGTTCTTAAATTAAGAAAAGGTTGGGCGAACAACTTCTTTATATTAGATATACACTTGCATATAGTTCCTTTGTAAATCAAAATTTATACTAAATTGCCATTTATTAATTAATGTGGAAAATGTGATTTATCAAATTTAAGCCGTTGATAAGAATAATGAAAGTGTTTTATCAGTATCTTATGTTCCTGTAAGACATTGAATAAAATTTGGTATCAAGATGTGTATTGATATCAGAGTTGATTCCCACACTTTTTTGAGATGCTTTTATTCCCATTCTTGCATTAGGCAAATGAGATTATTGGTATAATACCAGTATGATGGATAGCTGCCACGATTTTCAAACAATTACACTTAAAGGTGTAAGTATTAATTGGATTAAACTCCACTCAAATACTGTCTTAATTGACCACAGTTATATTAATATATCATGACAGTTCATAATCATACTGGTATTGAGGTCAAGAATTCTTGACCTCAATAGTTGTAAAATCAGTGTCATAATCATCTGATATAAGTTTTACAAATTTACAGTTTATGAACATTATAATATTTCTTCAGTTACCGGTATGTATTTTCCTATTTCTCTCAGAATTTACCCATTTGATCTTCTTATCGTTGAAAACGGCATCGCAATTCATTAACTTTACCCGTGGTTGCTATAAGACGCTTTACCTGTACAGTTGTTGTTAGGTGCTCTCTTCGAGGCCCGTGCTCCTAGTATAAATAGTGGGTAGCTTCTCAGTAATTTTGTCATTTGTACCGAAGACATTGAATGAAGCAGATCAGAAAGGTTGGAAAGGAAATAGTTTGAAGCAAGCAACAGGATTAGTGTAACAAAAGTGAGGTGTTTGAAACCTGCTGACAGGATATAGTTAGGCTGAGACAGTGGTTCGGTACAAATTCTCCAAACAGGGCTGGTGCTAAGGTTTGCGTTTCACATCTCTCACTATTGCAGTGAGTGTTTGCTGATAAACCATGCCTTAGTGCTACCCTGTTGTTCCGACAGTTATAGACATATTTTCATACAAAAGTTTACATAGTTCAAATTTGTTTCATGCATTAGTTTTCTAATAGGTTCCATACATTTAGGTTTCAGCCTATAGTTCCAAATATTTGGTTTTAACAAGTATCAGACTGAAAGGGTTTTAAACAGTTTTTATTTAACAGGATCCGGTTAGGTTGTTAGGTGTTGAAATTCATTTTATGTAGTATTTGTTTTTAAATTTGGTAGTATAGCGTAAACTGTTTGACTTTAGAAATTTTGCATTGCTCTTCAAATCACTAGCAGATTTTTTTTATTATTTTTTTTAAATTCTGCAACTGCTGCGACACCTGCTGAATCTAAGAATATTGCAAACTTTATTTCCACATCTGTACTTAGTGCTGATATGTATAGCATTCTAATTGAAAACTGGCAACCACTAATCATAGTTTTTTTTCCTTTCCTAAACGAGAAATGTACGGGTTTAAAAGATGCTTCAAATATGCGTGGCTGCACTATTACCCATGGATTGTCTATTCAACTTCACCAACGGAATTTAATGCAAATTTTGCGTTTTGTTTGCTACTGACCACAACCTCGGACACAGAATTTGGTAAAGGTAAATGGTGAATGTAAATTTCACGGAAACACAGAATACCACCAAACAGCCTTATTAAGAGAATTACAAGACTTTCAGCTCTTTCAAACTCTTAAAGACCTATTTGCAATCAACCATGACAAGCGAGAGACTCAATGGCCTTGCTTTAATGCATATTCATATCAGCACGGAAATTGTCAAAAGTGCAGTGATCAATCAGTATGCTAGAGCCTATAACATCAGAATGAAATTATCAACAATAGACTTTTTAGGATAACTTTGTACATTCAATGTTTGCCAATTTTCATTTATTGAAGTATTTTTATCTGGAATTAAATTATTAAACTAATCTAAAAATTCAATTTTGAGGAACCATATGACGGATAAACAAAAAGTGTGCCAATTATTGAAAACATAAGGTTTTTCTAAACCCCCCCGCTTTAAGCTCTGGATCCGCGCCTGCAAATCCCAGGAAACTGGCCAACCCGAGGATAAAAATATTAAAACGCCCCCACCTGGTTACACATTACATAAGTTAATAATTAAGGTCTCTAAGTTACAATTATCAGTAATTTGGTTGAAGCAATAAACACAATTGCATAACTCTTACCTGAGCATTTTCTGCAATAAATTTATTTGTTTATACCCCCAATATTGCTATTTAACAGTAATCGGAATAATCCTAGCATAAGGTAAAATTGAGAATGGAAATGGGGAATGTGTCAAAGAAGCTGAAGGCCACCAATGGGTCTTCAATGCAGCGAGAAACTTCCGCACCCGAAGGCGTCCTTCAGCTGGCCCCTAAACAAATATGTATACTAGTTCAGTGATAATGGACGTCATACTAAACTCCAAATTATACACAGAAAACTAAAATTAAAAATGATACAAGACTAACAAAGGCCAGAGGCTCCTGACTTGGGACAGGCGCAAAAATGCAGCGGGGTTGTTTTTTGAGATCTCAACCCTCCCCCTATACATATGTCATGCCAACAACTGGTTTTAGAATAAATGTGTTTAATTCCGATGCAAAGACCCTATAAGTGAATCAATATTAAAGCCAAAATATGCAATCTTTAATGACCTGACAACAGTATAGTAACTATATCCCATCTTAATAAGTCTGTTTAAAGGTTTTGTTAGCTTTTGAGGTGAATACTGACATTTTTGTGCTTTGTAAAGAATATTACCATAAAAGATTGGATGTGAAATACCCGAACGTATAAGATATCTGCATGTTGAGTTATATTTACAAATGATGTCCTTATACCGATGATAAAATTTAGTAAATGTTTTGACTAGTTTATGATATCGAAAACCCTGGTGTAATAATTTTTGTACATGTATATTTGAATACAGGAAATGTATTTTTTCCTTAATGGAAATGAACACCAATTTAGATAAAAGTTAATTATTTATTTTTGTTGTTGTCGAGAAAGTGCATTTTTAATGCCTCTTTCTGGAAATTATAAAGCCAATTATTATTAATGGCATATAAAAAATATGCTACACATTTGAAGATTTCCCTTAACATTCTTGTCAAAATCATTGAATTTCAAATGTTTCTAAAAAAAAGATGTAAAAAAACCTGACAGTGTCTTCAATTGAAATACCAAAATAATTTGCATCAATATTGCAAAATTCTCCATCTTTTGGCAATAGAATAGAAATTTAGTGAGATTATGGAAATGAAGATAACAAAATAATTATTGAAAGTATAGTCAGAAAAATGTCAGACTAGCTACAAAATTGGCTGAATCACAACATCCATGATGCTTTGATTTAATTAATCATTTTTGGAAGGTCTTAAAAACAAATTGGTAGCATGTGCCTTCAAAAGGAAGGTCAGTTCATAGGTTGGCTATGAATATTGATTCAGATTGTATCTTTTGATAATTAATCAGAACTCCAAACAGTTCTCTTTAGAGAAACAAATATCATACTGGAAAAGTCTTTCTACATTTTTTTCATTCCTTGCATTACATAGCAGAAGACTTCTATTAAAATCATTGCAACTACATACATACAATCAGATGCATCAATATCAACAATATAAGAATCCTAATTAAGTTCTTTACAGCCCCTTCAACAACAAAACCTTATCTTATCGACATGCTGAATTTATCATATAACATAGTTTTAAATAAGCAACTGGTGAATCTTTCTTGGCCTCATCATATGTCTGGTTTTCTGTGTGTATTGTAAGGCAACATAAAAATAACAACTAGTTTTGACATTTTTTTTAGGTATACACATTATCTGTGTGTGGTGACAGATTGGTTGTAGGAACAGCAGGAAGAAGGATTCTGGTCTGGGACCTAAGGAACATGGGATATGTACAACAAAGACGGGAGTCAAGTCTCAAATATCAAACAAGATGTATCAGATGTTTTCCAAATAAACAAGGCTATGTTTTAAGTTCTATTGAAGGTAAATTACATTTTAAAAAAGTTAAGGTATAAAATGGCAGGTTAGTTTTTGGGAAAGACGGCTTCAAGCCGTCAATTCCCTATGTGGCTGGCCAGACTTCCAAGCCTCTCACGTCACTCATTTTGTTTTTATAGTTGGGGAAAACACCTCAAAATTTCATACTGAATTGATGAGAAGGAGACACACAAATAAACAGATTGACTTAAAACACTTTTTTACACATTTGCCTTCTGTTTCTCATTAAATTATCGTATCTTGGGCTCTCCTTTACATTATTTACGTTTCTTTTACAATCCGGAAAAATCAGTATTACGAAATATTCTAAATATATCCATCCTAGTGTCAGTAGTGACGTCATGGTTGGAATTCCACACTAGGTAGAAGCAGGGATATCCTTTACTCATTATTAAAATCATTCACAGAAATCGTGTACGATTTAGAAATCGGTATTTGTTTATTTAAAAACATAATTTTGTTTGCTGTAGATGATTCAAACACAATTTAGATTTACGACATAACAAGTATTAGTGGGGTTGACAACCCAGAAATAGGCATATAACAGAATTTCGCGACCGGCTGACATTTTTCAAAATGGGAGTTAAGTACCTTGTGTTATATTAAGGTAGATAGGGAAAAAAAATTCTGAGACAAGTGCCTGTGCTAGATCCTAGTCCTGGCTTGTCATTTTTCTATGTACATATTTATAGGCAGAGTAGCTGTAGAATACCTCACCCTAGTCCTGGCTTGTCATATTTCTATGTATATATTTATAGGTAGAGTAGCTGTAGAATACCTAGACCCTAGTCCTGAAGTTCAGAAGAAGAAATATGCATTTAAATGTCACAGAATCAAAGAGAATGGAATAGAAATGATTTATCCTGTAAACGCTATAGCTTTCCATGCACAACACAATACTTTTGCATCAGGAGGATCTGATGGTTATGTCAATATATGGGATGGATTTAATAAAAAACGACTTTGTCAGTTTCACAGGTAAGTTCTGTAGAGAAATAAGTTTTCAATTATATCATTTCAAGTTTATCGACTCAATAAATGAAAGCAGAAGTTATTCATTTTTATTAGAACACAATATAAAGAGTAATTACAAGAAATTCAAACAAATATGTATCACAGAATATGATTAATTATCTAACAAGCAGTCATGCCAAATGTTTGTAAGCAAATTAAGCAACAAAACATCAGAAATAATATATGATATAAGCCAAACAGATCAAATTACACATTTGAGATAACCACACTCAAGCAATACTTTTACTCTTTAAATACACTAAATGAATAAAAAATCACAGTTGTAAGGGGAAGGTTGGTGGGTAAAATAATCTTTTCAACAAAACATTCCAATGTGCTTTTAAATCCTAAACATGGGAAAAGGCATGAGTGTTCTGTATCTAAGAAACACGCTAGCCAATCACTATACAGAATATTTTGAATAAGTACTCGCAGATAAAAAGTAAACAATGATCCACTTAGTGATCATCAATTTTTTTAATAAGAAATAAAAAAAATCATGATTTTATTTTATTTGATATGTATATTAAAGTAATTGCAGAGGTCGTAATAGGAGTAACTACAACATAGAAAAGCCATTTTTGTGCATCTTGGAAATGCTTAATATTTTGATCATTTTCTTAATTCAAATATGCAAGTCAGACTTGCAATTGATAATAAATCATAGAAAACAACTGTTATGCAAAGTTTTGAGAGAACTTTTTACTTCAATCTGTTACTATTTTGCTTCAATAAAAACAGGTGAAACATTTTTTTCTGTGTTAAGTAAAACAGTTTGGCTTGGTTCAACACATGAACTTGATAGTTTATTTTTTGTTTTACAGATATCCTACCAGTATTGCTTCCCTTATGTTCAGCCACGACGGATCAGTTCTTGCGATTGCTTCTTCATACATGTATGAAACAGATGATGCTGTGGATATTCCTCAGGACTCTATATATATCAGGAATGTCAGTGATCAGGAAACCAAACCAAAAGCTTGAACACCTTCAATTAACATTTTTATCAGATTCAAGCCATAATACAGTACATAGTCTTTCTCTTGGTTCATATAATGTGTCTCTAAATGAAGACTGACTTGGTTATTTAAGAAAAATACGCTCTAGACTTTGTCAGACATGTGCATTTTGTCATATTTAAACATTTTATCTCATTACAAATTTAATTCAATGTCAAATTGAACTGTGTATATGCATTGATGTAACATATTCTTTCATTTTATTATAAAATGTTTTTATTGCAAAATTTGCAACATGATGGGTTTCATAAAAATAAAAACTGACATTTTAATTTTGATAACATTATTTGTATGGAGTATTTCCTACAGTTACAATAATTGATCTCACATTTATTTCCTACAGTTACAATAATTGATCTCACATTTGTTTCCTACTGTTACAATAATTGATCTCACATTTGTTTCCTACTGTTACAATAATTGATCTCACATTTGTTTCCTACTGTTACAATAATTGATCTCACATTTGTTTCCTACTGTTACAATAATTGTTCTCACATTTGTTTCCTACAGTTACAATAATTGATCTCACATTTGTTTCCTACAGTTACAATAATTGATCTCACATTTGTTTCCTACTGTTACAATAATTGTTCTCACATTTGTTTCCTACTGTTACAATAATTGTTCTCACATTTGTTTCCTACTGTTACAATAATTGATCTCACATTTGTTTCCTACAGTTACAATAATTGATCTCACATTTGTTTCCTACAGTTACAATAATTGATCTCACATTTGTTTCCTACAGTTACAATAATTGATCTCACATTTGTTTCCTACAGTTACAATAATTGATCTCACATTTGTTTCCTACAGTTACAATAATTGATCTCACATTTGTTTCCTACAGTTACAATAATTGATCTCACATTTGTTTCCTACAGTTACAATAATTGATCTCACATTTGTTTCCTACAGTTACAATAATTGATCTCACATTTGTTTCCATTGTTCCACGATCACAATCTTAAGTACACACACAAATTTGAAAAAAAAATCTTTACAGTACTGGTTATTATCTCCCTTTTTGCCATGACATTCTCCAGATGTATTTTCTACAATTCTGCCATAGCTATTTTCTTGTTCCCCTATAATTTTTAAAGCTCCATCTAATCTTTGATATCCCTGAATTACCCTTTTTGGTGTACCCTATGATTATATATAGGATAGAAAAATGTTGTTTCGATTTACAAGTTAATTTAAAATTTGATTTCTATGTCATTCCCTGTGAGTGTCCCATATCTATAAAATTTCAAACCATAAAGTATGAAAAGCATGTTTAAATTTATAATTTTGTACAGTTGTTATTTCTGATATTATGTTATATGTCTTTGCAATGTCTTGTTTGTGTCAGTCTTATGCATTAGGTAACATTTTGGTCAAACAACAAAGCAGTTGTTTTAAATGCAATGCAGACATGTTCCAAAATCAGTGCTGATCAACTTTTTTAAAGAGGCATTGGAAGCCCTTTCAATCCTACATTTCTTGAAGGAATTTTATAAGATTTATAACAAAGGTTAATATCAGTAATGTCTTGGACACTTAGACAATTAGTGCCAATCAACAATTTTTACAGGAATTATTCCCCTTGGAAAATAAAAATCATATGGTAAAGTGCATTGTAAATGCTCTCCAGCCTCACTTTCTTCTAGGTTTTTTATGAAATTAAGATCAAAGGTTAATATGAGCAATGGCTTTGGAAAGTTTGAAAATCAGCACTGATCAATTATTTTAACTGGAATTATGTCCCTTGGAAGTGTTAATTCGGTTTCAATTCTTTCTCAGGTACGACTGAACGAAACGACTTCATTTGTGGTCAGCAGCTTGGTAGTGATGAGTTGTATCGGTTGAGCACTTTTCAGATCTGTCTGACACCTATTCCTTGTTGCAAATACATTGTACTTTAAGTTTTTCAATATGTTGAATGAACTTAATAATGTTCATCGCATTTCTCCAGTACTATTGAACACGATCACTTCATTTTTGGTGAACAGCTTGACAGTGATGAGTTGTAAGGTGTGTGCACTTTTCAGGTTTGTTTTTCTTTTATAATTGTATATTGTTTTGTCCAGAGTAAGGCTGGTTCCATTGAATGACTGTTTAAACTTCTGATCTTGATATTATATCATACTATGTCAAGAGTTATGTCTCCCTTTAAAGGAGTATGTGTAGCAGAAAAATTAGTTTTGAGTACTCTGGATTTATTATTTTTGGGATACCATTTTTTGTCGATTTTGTGGGTAAATGTAAACCACAAATTCATATGTTCAACGACGTTTATCTGCAGACACCAAAAACAACAAAATCAAATATCAACAATTATACAAATGTTCCTCAATCCACAAAAATTGATGAATCCACAGTATCAGATAATTTTATAATGACTATATCTTCAGCTGTGCCAAAGGGCTTGTGTGAGATAAAAGCATCATGTGACTACCATCCTTCTTGTCCATTTTACCTACATGACAGTCTTATAATATAAATAGAATACAGTCAAAAAATGGAATAGTGATTTTATATGACAATATAAAGGCAATTTAAATCAGAATTTTATGAAACTGTCTCACATGGAACCCCTTTCAAAACTATGTTGACTGTCTTGACACTAACAGAGATGACTACTATTAGTTTTTTCTCCAGAGAGTGTATGCACAGTTGGGACCGTGTGCATTCATTTATTCATGAATCCTTAAAAAAATTTAGATCTATATAAACCCTAATCTTTCAAAATTCATGATCATCATCCTTCTGTTAAACTCCTTTCCTTAAAAAATCAATGAAAATCACTGATTAGTACAGATGGTTAGATAAGTGATTTCACACATTTACACCACTTTATGGTAGAGGTTTCCTTAAATATTCATTTGCATTCACTGCCCACCTTTGCACCTTCCTAAAAAGGTCAAGGGCATATAGTAATGGCATATGTCTAGCCATCCGATTGACATAACCAAATAAATAACCACTGGACTAAATTGATTTAAATTGAATGTAATATTATTTACCATTAAGGATTTCATTTTTAAGAATTTCGCTTTTGCTTTTATAGAGTCCTGGCCCTTAATTTTCAAAATAATGTAAATTTTATTTTTTACTATTGATAGAGAACTTCTCAACCAAATGGATTGAAATTTCATTAAATGTTATTGACCACTGCATATACAATAAGGTCACAGAATTCCAGACTTATGTATATATGTGCAGCAAATGTGAACACTAATTGATTTTTGGTAAAATTTTCAGAGGTACATGTACAACAGCTAGATGCACTATACAATTGTATGGCTTATAGCCTGGAGTTTCTGTATTGACAAAATTTATCTGACCATGATATGGATATACGAATGTTTAGGGTATACATCAATGCGACAGTCACAAGATCAACACACAGTCCTTATCAATACACTGTGCCATTGGATTTTGTGGGTGAAGGTAAACTTGTATGGAGAATTTGTTCCAAGTATCCACAAAAACAATTTTACCTAAAAACCACGAAAATTGGTTCCCTTTAAAATGAATTGTCTCAAATTAACAAAAAACATGGATGTGACACAGTACAACCTTAAATGAGGTTCCTGACTTGGGGAAAGGCATATGCACGGAATAGAAAGGAAGCCTTGCCGAAATTATCTTTGGAGTACTAAGATTCTGAAGAGATAAAACAGTTGTGCACACTTTTGTAGATGAAAACACATTTTTTCGTTAAAATAACAGTGGCCCAAGACCATGTTTAATGACAGATGGACTCATTAATGTCAACAGAGGATAAGAAATACTGAATTATTTCCTTTTAAGTCATGTTTGATAGACTTTGAAGTTAGCCCAAAACTCTCAATCTGAATCGTAAATGTATTATTTACCAAAAATTTGGAAGCAATTTGATCCTTTAAAGAATATTTTAACGATTTTTTGTAGAATGTTTTTTTAGAGTTGAGTCGTATCAGCCATGGTTGCTTTAAGTTTGGGCCATCAACCACAATTCTTAAACTGGATACTAAACAAAGTATTTGCTCAAAATTTACTAGCAATTATACCTTAACAAGATTATTGAATTGTTTGACAAAATTTCCATTTTAGTACCGCTGACGGCCATCTATATTTTGTGGATGTTTTCATCAACCAACATCCATAATAAACGAACACTGAACCTAGAATGTATTTGTCTAATTGATAGTTGTAAAAATGCTATTTGGCCATATGTAATGGCATTTGAGGTCATCAACGACCATTCTTAAAGAGCATCCTAAAACATTTACTGAACCAGATGCGTATTACTTAGTAAGTCAATGAATGTCTCCTAAAAGAATGGAATATCTGTTTCACAGATGACGACGGATATGTTCCAATTGTCGTAACCACAATCCGTCCTCTTTACCGAATTAGACTTATCACCGGGTTTGTACTTACATGAGCAACACTACTTACCCTTCCGGAGCACCTGAGATCACACCCGCTTTTTGGTGGGGTTTGGCGTTGCTCAGTCGATCTTTAGTTTTTTATGTTGTGTTTTGTATTCTGTTGTTTGTCTTTTGGTCGTTTTTATTTTCCATGGCATTGTAAGTTCGTTTTCGACTTGTACGTTTGATTATTCATTTGATATCTTTCGCCTCTGTTTAATAAAGTGATGCTCGAGACCAATATATTTTAAAACTTAAAACCTATAAGAACATTGAAGAGCTGAATTAACCGACAAAGACCAAAAGTACAGCCTAACCCAGACAACGAATCAGAGCTATGTATGAGGGCGGTACATTCCTTAAAAGCAAGTGATTTCCATAGTTTTATAACAGCAAACAATAATAAGACAGATTGCGTTTTTTCATGCCATTACCGAAGTGATACTTGGTTTGTGATATCCTCGGGGACTAACATTCCACTAACAGAGTTATTGACACACAGGTAGTAATAATCATAAAAAAACTAATAGAAAGTGCATTGAAACAGGCATCGCTTATAAAGGATCAATTTTAAATGACAACATATTTGTTATTTTGACGAAAAACTGCTGTTATTTTTTTACTGCTTCATACTTTGATGTTATCCGAGAAACTGACAATGAAGATCAATTGAAATTTCTGTTGACTACAGAAATGATGATTAAATTTTCTGTCCTGAACTTTGTTTATGTAGCAGCATCCTAGCAGCATCTGTAGGTGAACTATATTCACAGCGAGTATATATCTCTTATATAAAAATAAGAAGTGGTATGATTACCAACGAGACAACTCTCCACCAAAGACGAAATGACGTAAATGTTAGCTCCTATATAGGCCATCGTTCGGCTTTCAACAATGGGCATAACCCATACCGCAAAGCAAGCTATAAAAAGACCCGAAATGACAAATGCAAAACAATTCAAACGAGAAAACGAACTTCTGTACAAAACAAGTGTGATATACAGCAACACACGACCTCTAAAATTAAAGGCTCCTGACTTGAGACCAGCACATAGAGTGTGGCGGGTTAAACATTTTAGTTAATATGATATTCCAGAACTGGTGTTTCCTATCATGGTTTCCTTGATCGAGGAGCTACTGAAGCTAGGTTTCTTAATGACGGTGTATTCCCGTCTGATAGAAATCGACAGACCTTAGTCTCTGTTAACGATTCAGGATGCAACGTGCGTTTCAGTACTTTTTTTTTGTTTTTTGTTGTTTTTTTTTTTTTTTTGTTAATGTGATCTTTTTATGAATTAAGGTTACGATGAATAAAATTTTATTTCTTTTGCTTAACACGCACTATTTTATTTCTTTTGCTTAACACGCACTATTTTTCAAAGTTATTTTGTTCAATTTATTAATTTTTGGTTTTGCGTATTAAGTTTAGAGTAAAAGCTTGGACATAATATTATATTTAATTATACTATTCCCAGGAAAAATAATCACCACATCATATTCAATGTTGAATTAACAACCTCCGCTTTATATATATATATATATATATATATATATATATATATATATATATGCAGTTCCGCATTAACCGCTTTTTACCAAACTTAACTAAAATGGAGAGTTTTTTTTTTATAACTCTTTGTTCTGATTATTTCTGTAAAATGTATTTTTATTGAAAGCCCTGTGGACCATTAAGACGAGTTACTGATAATTGCAATTAATCTACATACTAGCAATTAAAAACACCGATTCAAAACAATGAAAACAATTATGTTGATGTGTTGTTAAGTGTCAAATCTTACAAATACTGCTTTTGGCTGAATATAAGCCATGAAGATCCAAGTGTGTCACAGCTAAAAGCATTTTACCAGTCTGCTCACTAGGCTCGTGCACTCTGTAAACTGTGTGTGGCTCAAGGTGTTATGATAAGGGAAAAACCTTGTACAAAGGTGAGAAACTTATAATTGGTCCGTTATTATTGGATATTTTCTAGAAATATAAAAATAAGAAGATGTGGTATGATTGTCAATGAGACAACTCTCCACAAGTGACCAAAGGACATAGAAATTAACAACTATAGGTAAAGCATATATATATAGAGATAAAAACTCAAACTTCTTCAAATTTACAAACATTTGATTTGTCTTAAAGATTTTAAGTTATCTAAATAGTAATACACGTATAGTTTTTTCCCATATTTTAACAAGTTTATATATCACTGCAATTATTTATTTCCAGTGTTCTTCTGCCCACATGTCTTTGTATTCTATTCGACCAAATCAAAACCATTGTATCTGCTTTCTACTTTTCAGCATTGTATTTCCTATGAAAGAAATATGTCTGTTTTATGTGAATTACCCAGTCGAGCAATGGATTGTGAAGAAGATGATATTACAGATTTAATATATCCGATTGACTTTCTTCAAAAGGTAAGCTGGCAAACTTGCACATACACAAACGGAACACAAATATTAACACAGACTTTCTATTTCAATTCAGTTTAGGATTTATTCGATTATAAGACATTGGAATCACAATGACCAAAATCGTCTTCTCCCTGTAACTTGTTTGGGAAAATAAATTTAATGTATCGTCTTTCTGTCAGGAATATGATGGGAGTTTGATGTGGTTGGTTCTTCTATTATACTGTCTGTCTAACCAATAGCCAAAGACCACTTCTTTTTGACATATAAAAAGTATCAGTATATTTTCACCCATGGTACAGGCGATTTCATCATGCCAAAATTAAATATTTTTTTCTTCCTTTTTTTCATAATTTATGCTGTGAGTTGCCTGTAACTATTTTAGCTATTTTAGCTAGATAGCTTGTAAGCAATATTTATATTAAAGAGTACATTCAAACATGCAAATGCAAACACCTAACACTTTAAATTTCGATGACGCCCAAAAATTTTAGCTTGTCGTTCAGTGAAAAATAATTTGCTTATTAACCATTCATAAATTTGTTTGTAGAACCCGTAAAATAGATTCGATCCATGTAAGCTTATCGATTCTTTGAATAAACTTATTCTAAAAGGTGATCAATTTAACACCGTAATAAGATCATGTATGTAAAGTTAGCGGTCAATGATCTTTGAATATTGTTTTTATCGGTACTAAAATTCAATTTGTTTTTGTTATCAATTGATTAAAACATAGTTATACAGTTTTTTAAATCTTTCGGTTTTCATCCTGTCGATACTTATATTTTGGCATTGCACAGTGTCATGTTTTCCTAGAATGTTCATGACGTCTCTATACTAAATCCATTGGATGTGTACTAATTGATATTTTGTCTTCGATACATGATATTTTTATTGGCTTTGAACTAGCTTTCAGTATAACTGCGAGTACTCTCAGATCGGTACTTTGTATCTTTAGTGTTTTGTTAGTTGCTTTATGCTTGGAATCGATCCGATGAGTCAAGCCCTTTTCACCTGATTGTTTTTAGTAAGTGCTTATGTTGTGCCGTTGCACTACTGTCCCAGCTTAGGGTGAGGGTTGGGAATCCGCAAACATGTTTAACCCCGTCACATTCTGTAGGTGTCTGTCCCAAGTCAGGAGCCTGTAATTCAGAGGTTGTCGTTTGTTTGCTGTAAGTAATATATGTTTTTCTTTTGTTGTTTTGTACATTAATCAGGTTTTCTCGTTTGAATTGTTTTTTTGTTATCTCGTGGCCTGTTATAGCTTGCTATGCGGTATGGGATTTTGTTCATTGTTGTAGGTCGTACGGTGACTTATAAGTGCTAACATCTACATCATTTGGACACTGGTGGGTAATTGACTCATTGGCCATCATATCATATCTCCTTTTTTTGTAAATATAAATATGTTTATCCTTATATATGCTTATCTTATGGCAGGTGTCGAATGATATAAAATATTTGTAGACGTCAATTCTGATGACTGACAATGTGGAGAATCTAGGTTTTTCTAGTTTCCGTTTTATGTCGACTGTCTTGACGGCAAACCCATAATGTATTTTCGTCATTTTCCAGGACAAGAATGGCAGTTTTAAAAGAAAAACAAAACGATCTTCGTTCATGTCATTAGATCTTGGTAGTTCTGTACGACTTCATCATGTTAAAAGATTTAAACAATCTTTGTCGTTCGGGGTATGTAAAAACTGTCTTAATTTAGTGGGTTTTTTTTAAATTATATGTAGATAGAAACTGATTAGATATTAAAACAACTTCTTTTATCATGAATTTATATCCCTTTAATATACATGTTTGTTAAGAAACTTTTTAATGTCATTATCATATTTTCCTATTCACATTCATGCATTAAACTGACTTTTACTTAAGTATAGTGTCCATTTTTCAGGATCAGATATATGATCAGATTATTGAATCGGAGGTTGTTGTAAATGAAACATCAGGCGACAATGATATGATAGGAGACGGAAGTCGAAGATATGCCCTTCGTACTATGACGGGGAAAAACTGTGACCTCAAGACTATCTCACATAATACTGTAAGTGTGTATACAATGCAAACCTGCTCATACTTAACAATTGTGCCCCCCTAAATACATGCACGTAATACAACAAAGAGGTAAAAGTTTCCCCTCGTTAAGCATCACGTATTATTACTACTATCAGGGCACTTGCTGGTTTTTCAGTCATTTTATATGGTGCGTGGTCGGATTTTAGATTGCCAATAGCATCGATGCACTACACGTCTGTTTCTAGAATAACCATACCATATTCAGATACGTTCGAGATAAACAGCTGGGGAAACAAAAAAAGAACAACATTTAAGACCACCGAACAAAAATAACCCAAACGATAGCAATCATTTGAGGTCAAGTTTGATCGAAGGAGTAACAACCGTTTTTTTAGTTCAGTTATTTTATTTTTATGAAATTTTTATGACAATTATCATGAAATTACTCAACTTCAGCAAATATTTAGATTGATTGATTGATTGGTGTTTAACGCCACTTCCGCACTATTGCTCTATTTCGTGGAAGTCAGCTTTTATTGGTGGAGGTAGACGGAGTGTCTCGAGAGAACCACCGACCTTCGGTACCTATATTAACGTTATATTCGTTACGACACTTGAAGACAAAGTCAAGCAATACCAGGCTGTATTTCTATACTGCACATGTTTGCAACCCTAATACTATTTTACTTTCAGGATTTTATCATTTCTATTAGAAGACCATTATTATAGCCTTTTTATCTAGGAGTACACAGGCTACCCAACATTTATTTGCATATTATATATTCAAACAAATTGTGTCAAAGAGTGTCAGTGATGGTCGTCCTGAACATGCATGAAATACTTGCCACTGAACGTTAAGTGAACAACAATCAATCAATCAATCTCAGTGATGTCTTTTAGCTCTTCTTCAATAGTATATTTAATCATCTTACCAGGTTTGTTGGCAGGACATTGCATTTAAAACTGACATTTGCAGACATTAAAAATGGCAGAGTTTTCTGTACAGACAAATCTAAATTGTATTGAACAAATGATAGATCAATGTGTCAATTCTATTGTTGAACGTGCTAAAGCTGTAACCTTTCAATCCTATTTTTGCAGATGACAGGCGTTATTAATGGTAGTTATGAGGAAGTTATATCCTGTTATCGTATCATTGACTGCAGGTATCCCTATGAATATGAAGGGGGTCATATCAAGGTAAGTACAAGGATGTACATATGTACCATTACGCAGTACGATTCAAATATAAAGGTTAATGTTAAATAATATGTGGATAATCAAAAAGTTTCAGTTATGTATTTACATATATTCCTACTACCAAAATTTCGGTATATATGAAAATTCCTGCTTGAGATAGACAAAAAAAGAAACGGTGATAGGATAGAAACAAAAAAGTGTATTAAAATGAGCATGGCAATCACACCTCACCTCCTTATTTTTATAATGAAGAATTACTACTTCCAATTACAATGTTTATATTGGTTGTTTGTTTGAGTTAAAAAAAATGTCAGTAAAGAGTATTCGACAATTGAAATCCTGAAGTATATTAGGAACTCCTTTAACTGAATTTTCTTTTTCTTTGTAGAATGCAGAAAATATTTATACCAAAAATGGAATAATAGAATTCCTTGAAGATAATTGTGACGTTGCAAAAAGACAGGTGCTCATTTTTCATTGCGAGTTTTCGTCCGAAAGAGGACCCAGGCTGTAAGTGTACGCTATATAAACCGTTAAAGTTGTCATATTTTTTCGATCGTATATGGTATACGTTGTGTAAATCGTTAAGCATCCATTGTTTCAATTTTCACCTTTTTTTTAACTAGTCTCCTTTTTGCTATTTATGATTAACCGATCACTTGGAACAAATAATGAAATTTTAAATATGAAATATAAATCTTTTAATTGTAGTTTTGGTCAAATTTTAAAATGTTAAACTCAAAAGTAAAACTTCGTCCTAAATATGCATGAAAATGTGTGTCAAAGCTATGAGAACCGTACTATTACTACTTCTGTAATTTTTCTCCTTCTAGTTGCCGATTTCTCCGTAGTAAAGACCGCCAACGAAATAACTACCCGCTTCTAACCTTTCCTGAAATGTACATTTTAGAGGGAGGCTACAAACAGTTTTACCAAAACCATAAGGTATAAAACCAGATTTTATATATGTGAATATATGAATCGTATTTAAATTAAAGTCTTTTCAAAAATACTTTGATAATTATTATTGGCATTATTGATACTACATGCCTTCGTTACTCTTTGTAATTGTCATTTTTATAACTATATTTTAGTTCCTTCTGTCAATTAGTCTCAGTATCTTGTATGATAAAACTGGGTGAAATGCAAGATTAAATTATGCAATGTCAATATTTGTCAATCTATATACAATTTGTAAATTAAATTGATGACCATTGTTGTCAAAAAGTATTCTCACGACACAATCTTAATCTTAATCCATAAATATTTCCTAGTAACACTAACACGACTAATAAATGTCTCTTATAGAATTATTTGAAAAATAGTTCAAAATGTTGTTTTCCGAACAAAATGCACTTTTTGCATAATAAAAATATTGAAACTTAAAAACTCATAAGAAATAATGACTTTGATACCAAACACAACATAAAAAGAAGAAAATGCTCAAATCCACAATTTCACGCATTTTCACATGACACATGACATTTTGTAAATAAAACGTGAATTAACCTTTTTAAACGTGCTTGTACCACTGTCGTCTTATTAACGTTTAGTAGTATATCTTGCGAATGATAGTAAGCAATCCATAATACACTCAGTTACTATTATAACTGAGAGATAATTTGTATAAAGTAAAGGGGATTATACCAGCAGCTCTTAAAGACTTTGAAGTTAGAACGATTTATGGCACTTCTGTTACTTAGAAGTATGAGCTACAATTTTTTTAAATGTTCCAGGAACTATGTGAACCGGTTGACTATTTGCCCATGCTACATAAAGACCATGTGGATGACATCAAACGATTCCGTTCTAAATCTAAATCGTGGACTGCTGGAGAGAAAAAGAGAATTCCTTTCTGTCTGTATTCCTGATGTCAGGACCTTACAACCAAGTGATCCCGAAGTTCGTTCACCTGAACTTCAAACCAAATGAAAGCAGTGCCACTAATCAGTGATTGGTCATTATCACCATAATCACTTGCTATCCAAATTAATGGTTTTATTCTTCAGTAATCGTATTATCAGAATACAAAAATCAGACACGCTGCTATATAAATATAGGGAACATGCAAGACTCGCCAATTCCGAGTCTGCTGACAAACTGTCTGTTATAGGAAGTTCGATTAGAAAACTTTTAAAGACAAGAAACGAGCTCATTTGATAGAATGAAAAAAAAGATTTAGCAGTTTCAGAGTCATGAAGCAATAGTTATGCCCTCACACTTTTATTTAATCATTTAATACAGTTTTGCTTTCAGAAATGTTTACTTTTACATTTTTCATACACAAGTACACTTTATATAAATAACGAAATTTCGAGATAAATTTGTTTTCAACTCTCTTTCACAGTCGTTAATTTTTCACAATACTAGTATACAATTTGTGTCTGACATAAATGGTCTATTTGTGAAAAAAAAACTGACTTGATAAAAAAACAAAATAAAATTAGGTGCAAAATCTGAAAGTTACATTAAAAAAGAATAATGTATTGAATTACAATTGAACAAAGTTCTATGTAATCCTGACACTTATAAAAAGTTGCCTTATAATAAGTTGCCTTACAATCTTGATTATGAATCATGTGTACCATAAGATAATTGGAAATCCAAACAGCTAATTGACAGGCACAAAAGATTAAAATAAAAGTTGGATTTCGATATAAAAACTTTCTATATGATCGTCAGTTTGACAATAGTCTTTTCAAAACAGTTTGTACCAGTGTACCATTTGAATACCGTCAGCAAAACGCCCTTCAAACAAATAAAACAAACTCAGCTGATTAAGAAGCATCAATGGCTTTCCTTAACCGTGATAGACAATCATCAATTTTATGAGAGATGTCTTTCGCTGTATTTGAATGAGATTTCGAAGGATCTCGTGAGATTTGCTGCTCACTTAATGTCCCATTGCTACCCTCCATGTTATATATATACCGATTGGAACGCTTTTTAAGTGGCCGTGTATCCATTGGTGTTGTGACCGGTCTCCCAGAGATTTTATTATGGTTTACATAATTATCAGAATGATCATTAGAATCTATCACCATATTTTTTGGACTGATTTCTGCGTCGGAGTTACTATTTTCGGAATCTATTTCAATGGCAGAATTGCTGTCATAACATTCCTCGTTTTCATCTCCTCCCAGTACGTTGATGGCATTTGTTATGCTGTTACCAAAACTGGTATCCATTTTATCATTTTGTCTGTTGTCGTCGTCCTGCCTTAAAAGTGTCAAGGCAATAGGTACCGGACATATATCAAAGTCACTGGGACAGTTAACAATCTCAGCTTTCTCTTCAACAAAAAATGTGTCAAGCTTCTCTGATTGTTCTGAAGGTTTTTGTTGCTGGTCATTTCTTAAGTATTGTTGCCAGCTGAAAAATATAAAAGTGTGAAATCAAAAGAAGACACCATACCATTTTGATTTGACATTGGTTTCTTTTATCAGAACAGATACATACATTTTTTTTCTCACAAAATCATACATATCTTCTAGTTTACACTCTCTAATTTTAGTAGATTTTGTGCTGACAAACTTCTTTTTTTCGAAAATATCATTTTTTGCTATGAGGATACTTCAAATGTAGATTGATCTGAAGATAAAATGAGTGCACATATCCACTTAGTACAACACAATTTTGACTTATAGATTCAAACAACTTCAAAACTCTAGAAAAAATGTTCCAAATATCAAAAGTAGGTTTATTAAATAAAAAGTATAAAACAACAACATTTCCTAATGTAAAAATTATGTCAAAGGAAACCTCAATACAATCTAATGAAATCTGGGTAATACTGTCAAAAGGGTAAACCAAAACGTTGTGATTGGTTTAGATTTGGATTAATCAGACAGCTGTGTTATAGTATTATGGAATTTTTGGGTATTTTGTAAGGATGTAAAATGATCCCTGTTAGCTTCTATATGCTATCGAAGAGGTCCTTACCTAGATACATCAACATTTAGTTTATCGTCTTCGCCCTTTTCTTTTTCTCTACAGAAGTAGGTATTATATGGATCTCTTTCTTCTATTGTATCATCGATTGGACCTGAAAGGTAAAGTGAAGTGCTGTCTCCAAATAGAAACAAAATCAAATACAACAGTACAAAAACACGACGAAAACATAGTTTCTTACTACTTCGTGTCGATAACATGTGTGAACTGAAAAGCAACTATGAGTATGGTCGTATGATTGTTGAGTAATATAATATAATTGAATTATAAATGAACCTACCAATTAATGTCCTTTAAAGTATTTGTATAATATTTATATATCCTTAAATAGGGATAACACAAGTTTTTCGGGGAAATATTTCTTTAAAAAAATAGTTGTAATGCAATTAGGGGAGTTAAAAAAAGCTACGTGATTGCTTTTCCTCATTACCCCGCTATAAAACTCATCACAGGTTGCCCTCGTATGAGTTTTTTTCTGCTTCTTATTTAAGAAATAACAGTACTGTAGTTGAAGAGTTACCGTCTTCAATTGTCGATTTGACGGTCGCATGTACAGTTTTACTGGCGACTCGTAGCGGAGACAGTAAAACGGATATTTGCGACCGTCAAATTAAAATTGACGACAGCAACTCTTCAACTAATGTACTGTTATTCCGATTCTAATGCATTACAAAAGGAGTAAATACGTTAGAGCTTGAAAAAATGCAGAAATTTGAAATAAAATAAAATTCCGCGAAACTTCATTAATGATTTTGGCGCATAATCATGAAAACGAGCTAATTTAAACTTACAAACTGAAGTTAATAACGTTACTTCTATGATTCAAATTTGGATACAATCACATCAATACGGCTGTTCTGAGGTAGGTGTTGTTTTATTTTCGGTAATATTAAATAAAGTTTGACTAGTTTGATTCATTGTCAAAATCAAGTTTTATTCTTTGCAAACGGATTTCATATTTTCTCTGAGTGAAGTGAAAGCAACCGACATGTATCAGGTTTTGTAGCAAATATAAAATAAAAAAAGAAATGCCGTGATCAAGCAATTTTAATTTATTTGTTATTTCAATCATACTAGTCGCTTACTTTATCATTGTCATTCCAATAATCAATAAAACGTCTGTAAATAACTAGTACAACATTCTGTTTTCTACAAAAATATTGATTAAGGACAAAATAATATTGGTGTGCCAATGACTATAATGCGTTTTTTATGTGCCGATTCGACTTGTTACCCTTGGAAACGTACAGGGAATATGAGTGAATGCCCCTATGATGGATGTTATCAAAATTTACCACAAACATTGAGCAATCAACACAACATGAGTAACCGTTTAGTAGGGCAAAAAACCGAAATCAACGCCACTTCTGCTCCTCTTCATATGCGGAACTTTAGTAAACTTAATATAGTTTTTGTTGGATTACGTTAATGCAAATCAAGTATAATTGAAGTCTAAATTAAAAAAAATATAAAAATAATGTTACAGTGTCGCATTTATAATTGCGTTTTTACATTATGTACCATATACAAGTTTATCCCGAGTTATTCCTTAAATATTTGGAAAGGAAAACAAATTTTTTCTTTTTCCTTTTCCTGCGGAAAGATAATCATATGAATCCATATAAGATATAATTTCACAATAAAATCCATCAAGCCAATCAACATCACTGAACTGAAAATTCCATGACTCGATTTTTTTTAAACCCGGTTTTATAACAACATCGTTCTTGTGTGTAAATCACATTACATAAACTGCTTGATAAATGAATTAGGTATTGACAATTCACTTGGAAACTCAACGCATACCCCCACGACACTTACTATAGAGGAAATCCTGGATAATCATAGGTCGTCTGTTCTATGGAATTTCAACCAAAGATGAAAAACTGGATCTTCCATCACTGTATTGAATACCTAAACTACATAAGTGTCCTTACAAACAACAGTATACTGCTGGGTCTTCCAAGTGCTCCACGAAACCTCTTTCTAAATTATTAACATCAATTTAATCAGCAATCAAAACCGGACTTCAAAGTTATTGTGAAACTACCTATTCTAGAGGTGGCGTGAATCAGAAGTGGATACTAAAAAAATCCAAAGATCTTTTAGAGTACATACAATCTAAGGCTCTTTTATCTTGCAATAGTATTAAAACATTTGACTTTTCTACACTTTACACAAGTATTTCCCATTCCAAACTGAAAGTCAAGTTGAAAGAGTTGGTCCTGCTTTGTTTCATAAAAAAATGGCCAACGTAGATACAAGTATCTTGTCTTAGGGAGGGATAAATCGTACTTTGTAAAAATCACTCTGATTCAAACAAAAACTTTTCCGAAACTGACATTATCAAGATGCTTGATTTCTTGATTGACAAAATATTTGTTACGTTTGGAGGACGTGTTTTTCAATAAACAATCGGCATTCCCATGGGAACCAACTGTGCCCCTCTTCTTGCCGACTTGTTCCTTTATTCATATGAGGCTGACTTCATACAGGAACTTCTTAGGAAGAAAGAAAAGAAGTTAGCAGTATCCTTTAACTTTACTTTCCGCTATATAGATGATGTTTTCTCACTAAATAATTCAAAATATGTTGAACGCATCTATCCCATCGAACTTGAGATTAAGGATACAACGGATACAGTTAAGTCTGCCTCATATCTCGACTTACATTTAGAAATTCACAATGCGGGTCGGTTGAAAACAAAACTTTACGACAAAAGAGATGATGTTAGCTTCCCAATTGTGAACTTTCCATTTCTATGTAGCAACATTCCAGCAGCGCCTGCATACGGAGTACACATCTCCCTGTTGATACGATATTCCAGGGCTTTTATTTCCTATCATGATTTCCTTGATAGAGGGTTGCTGCTCACAAGGAAGCTATTAAACCAAGAGTTCCAAGTGGTCAAGTTGAAATCATCCCTTCGTAAATTTTACGGGCGCCATCACGAGTTGGTTAACCGTTATGGAATATCCGTTTCACAGATGATAGCGGATATGTTCCTAATGTCGTAACTACAATCCCGTCCCCTTTCCCGAATGTGACCTACCGAATTAGACTTATTACTGGGTTTGTACTAACATGAGCAACACGACGGGTGGC